TGAGAATAGAATACTCTCTTAAAAAATCGGTTTTAATTTTTACTAAATACTGTTGAATGAAAAAATATGAAAAAATGTTTCAAAAGTTGTATAATTTACTTTAAAATAGTGCAACTAGATTTTTTTTAGAAAACATTGTAATTTTAAATTAACTTTTTAATTAATTCTTTCTTAATTTCAAAAATTATGAAAGTTTTGAGATTTGTTTTACTATAAAAGTTAAAGCCAAATATTTAATACCAAATTCAACAATATATGATGATATAGCCATTACAAAAGTCCTTTCTTTAGAAATAAGCTAAAATTTCTATATAAAAAAACGCATCACATATATCAATTTGAAATATTACAATTTACGTCTTTTTATATTTAATAGTAAAAATTTATTATAATTTATATACATATAAATTATAATATTATATTGGGTATTATATTTATTATATATTATATTTATGTTATATTATATTTATATTATAATTTATTATATTAGATTTGATTATATATTAATATATAATTTATACTATATATATATATATATAATATAATTAATAATTTATCTATTTATATATACAATAAAATTTACACACTACAATTTTGATTGCATTTATAGGAATTGAACTTTTCATGTAATAATAAAAATATGCCATATTACACCTTATCGGTATAGTTTGGAAATCAAGGTAGAAAGTATAATATTAGATTGAAATCTAGATCACATTCAGCATTTTATTTTTTTTTTATCACACTTATGCATACATATTGTTCATAGTATCACGAATATTCAAAAAATGCAAGATGTTTCAACAATTTTACAAACAATTCTTGGATTGTTTTATCAACCAACTGTTGCTGTTTTGGTTATTATATTCCAGCACAAATTTTCTGAATTTTCTGTCTTAAAACTGTAAAAGTTGGTAATTAATCATAGGGTTTTATTAATTTTGACACTAATTAATGCATTGTTAACTAAATAGATTTATTTAGGCAGAAAGAATTTTCAATATTTTATCCAATTATCTCCTCTTCTATTTTTTTATTTGTAATCAGAGCTCTGTTCGAAGTTAATATCTGCTCGTTAGTCATTTTCTTCAGATGTGATAAAGCTAAGACAATATTATTACATATTTGAAAAGAAAAAATCTAAGATGTTTGAGATTAATCCAAAGGAATTATAATTTTAATTATTAATTAGTGTACTAAACCATAAAGTATATGCTAGAGAACTATATGTATATATTGTATATTAATAATAACAATAATAAAGAAGAATCTCTAGAGGGTTTTCTCTCTGATAACACATACAATTCTATATAAATTATAATTACCAATAATAATTTAACCAGCTCTAATTAGTTTGATATAAAATTTCAAAAGTAATAATGTATTTAAATAAATTAACAAGACATAGCAATTAAAATCTGGTATTATTTTACACTTTCCAGTTCATTTTTCGTTGTATAAAAACAGAGCACTTAAATACAAGATCAGAGAATATAAATATGCAGTAAGAAGAAGGGTTACATATAATGTCAAACTTACAGATAGTTTAGTATAAATACAACAATGATAATCAGATATTATCAACATGTATAGTATATTGCGTTCATTATATCAAACCCTTATGTTCTACATCTGTTAAACTTTTTAGTGAAATGTGAATATAATTACTATATATTAATTATTAGTCATTTCTTAATTCAACGCTATATTACATAATTCTTGAAAATAATAAAATATGTTATTGAAAGAAAGTAACAAATGATATATTGCTATTTTGTGCTTCTATTTGCTTCGTATATTTTAAGAAAATGCACATCAGTAGGTAAAAAGGTAAAATATTCGTTAATTTCGAACTTCTTTCTGCGTGCGCACGATTGTGACGGTTAACAAAAGGATATTCTTCTTTTTCTAGACAAGGAGAAAGTTTCTTTTTCAGTTCTTCAGAATAAAAATAGACGTGGAGTAGACAGTATCTATATATAGTGTTCATGAAACACGTGTTTGTGTTCTCTGCAATCGCGGTTAAACAACAGATAGAGATATATTATTGATGTGCTTCTAAAAACAGAGAGTTAATTACGCGAATAAATTATTTTCTTTTACTTTAATAATTTTCTGAATAATTTTTATAATGCGGCTACATTAATGCGCTTATCCAACGAGGTTATCGCCATTATTCTTGTGTTTTATTGAAATTTTTCATAATGACTACGATAACGTGCTTATCTAACGAGGTGATACGGATCATTCTTACGTTCAAAGATATCACTATTGAAGATACTATTAATTTTAGATGTGCCTGCAAGCATTTCAGTATGCAGCTCAACTAAGAAGTTCGAGAACAAAAGTTTTATCAGAGGTATTTTTTTATCTGTAAATTTTTGTCATTTTATTTCATTAACAGCAGGGAGTATTACTTGTAAAAAATATATTTAAAAAAAATAAAATTAATATATGTAGAATATTAAAAATAAAATGTAATAAAATAAACATAAAACTTTCAATAATTAATATTAAAACACGTAGGAAAACAGGCTAATAATGAAAGACAAGATGTAGAAAGCAGTGCGAACAATGATCTTTAAATAATTTTCTTCATTATTTAATTTATTCCGTTTAAAACTAAAACTAGATTTTAGTAAAATATATTTTTTAAGAGTTATTTTTTGTAATAACTAATTTTTCTACATCTTTGCTTTCAATCATTTTTCCTATTTATTTTGATAATATGTATAATAAAATAAAAAATTAAAAATTAGAAATTCTGCACTTTTATTTTATTAATTATATTATCTAATTTATTATTTTTCTTAGATTAATTTAGTTATTAAATTATATTATTAATTAATTAGATAAATTATATTTTATAAATATTTTATATAATAAAAATTAAATAATGTTTTATATAGTTACATAATAAGAATGTAACGTAAGTATGAGTTTGCCTATTTGCATTTATTATATTGTATATTGTAATGTAAAATTTAATTATAATTTAAAATTAAAAATTATATTATATATTTTTCGTATTAAAATAAAAATAATTGTTATTGTGATTTATGCTTTAAATATACATATATTTAAAAAAAATTATTGCTTTGAAAATTCATTATACTGGGCAATAACATTGTTTAGTATAATTTTCAAAAATTTATTAAAATAGGAGTTGTGGAAATAATCGACCAAACTAGCAAGTAATAATTGTTTATTAAATTTCACGAAGGTAAAGATGTGCTATCTAGTAATTGTGCGACTAATGTCGTTTATAAAATTGACTGCAATGACTGTAACCGCATCATATATAGAATAAACGAAGAGACATCTTCCAGCAAACACCAAGTAACAATTATAAAAATGTTAGTTATAATTTCCCACTCAACAATATAAATGCAATATAATACGTGTGTTATATTGCATTTATATTGTTGAGTGGGAAATTATAACTAACAATTATATAATTGTTACTTGGTGTTTGCTGGGCTAGTACACAAATTAAGGAACTTATAGAATTATTGTCATAATATTAAATTACATCATAGTTCACATTCGGTTATAAGTAAACATCGATCTGAATTTGAACATAATTTTGATTGGAATAGATTTAACATTTTACACACGGAAAAACATGTAAGGAAAGAAAGATAGCCGAAATGTTTTATATATTAAAAAACTCAACAACAACATTAACTCACAGAAGGATACAGAGAGTCTAAACGATATATATAATGAATAATTAAGGTCGTGTAAATAATCTCACTTAAAATACACTAGAATCTGACGATCCTTTGTTGGGATATATTGTGGCTGTCTCACATTTTCAATTTAATTTTAATTTTGACTTGTATATTTCTCACTAAAGATTGCTATTGATTATTGCTGTATGATGAGTTAATTATTACTAAATTAACTTGTAAGTATTACGTTCGTTTCCAATTGCAAATTTTATATTAGTGTTTCGTTGATAATAATAATATATGTAATAAATTATTTTAGTCTCACTGAAAAAGGACCACGCAGCCATATAGTCGAAACGTCATGAAATTTAATAAATGATTATTACTTGCTAATTTAGTCAATTATTTCCACAACTCCTACTTAAATAGTGATTGTCATTATTAATTGAGATTTATTTATTAAAATATTTTTGTTTGTATTGCAGATGGTCTACTGCAAAGAAACTTTGTGACGAGATTATGCTTAAAGAAAATGAACTAAAGGAGACTAACGAAAACGTACAGAGGAATAAAAAAAGCTACAAACTAAACTTTATACAAACGGGAATAAATTGTTCCAGAGATTTGCGAAATTATATGTCTCAAATAATTTTTCAAGATTATGTTGATAGAGGATTAAACAAATATAATTACATTATGTTAATCAATACATTAATAAAATTTGAAGATGCAAATTGTTTAGATAAATTTTTAAAACAATTTTGGAGAAACTTTAGCATTTATAAAAAGATTAATAATGATATGATAAAATATGTTTTCTATATTGATGAGATTAAAAACTTGCTAACACAATTTCCACGGTATAATTTTTAAGATATAGTGCTATTAATTTCATAAATTTATATATACTTACTGCTCAGTTAATATATAAATTTTGCAGAAAATCTAATTACAATCTAACCGAAAGATCTTACAAAATATTGTTAAAACAGATAAAGGATAATTCGATAAAACAAACGCATCATACTTATTGGTTAGTAAATACAAATTTTTAGTTAATATAAATTTAGTTAATAAATTTTATTATTTTTATTATTAAAAAAATGTGTCTAATTGTTTTATTTTCAGGAAAGTTACTCGCGATTTAATCGAAAGATATAGTAATGTAAAAAAAGATCACTTTCTAAAATTACAATCCTTAAAAATATGTGGAATACATTTATAACACAAAATGACCGAGAACAACTTTTGGAATGGACTGCTTTTTATTTTGCACAGTATATTCAACTAAATAAGGATGTATCTTATTTGCATATAAAAACGTCATTAGATCACATAGCAAATGAGGTGATGAATTGCCTCAGAAAGAAGTATCCCAACCATTCGATATTCTCCACGTCTGATGAAACTCTTTCCTATTGGAAAAACAACAATATCGACAATAATCATTGGAACGAAGCGGAAGGAATTCAGATTATGGATACACTCAACGAATATATATTTGGCAAATTAAACTTTCGACTATGCAAATTGACAGACACAAATTTGACAAACATGTGTATAGATAATGTAAGTTATTATAGATTATAATATAATATTATTGGCCATATATGTTTGTTATATATTAAATTTTTTTTGTTTTTTGATTAATTTCTATACATACAATGTCTGCCGCAGGTTTTACTACGTAAATGTGGCCAAGAAATAATTTTAGTGATTATATATCACAGTGTGGCCAGGAGACTTGGTCTACGTTGCGATATAATAAATCTACAACATTCCATATACCATATTCGCTACAACATTTTGGAAACCAAACTAGTACGTATAATATTAAATTCGGAATTATCTGAATTTTTCGCATATTTTTCTACTTATCATACTTACTCACACATATATATGTATATAGTTTTTATTATAAAATTTTATTAAGATAACAATATTTTATTGTTTACAGCGTCACGGAAAGTTTAGAAAATGCAAGATGTTTTCACATACGATTCAAGAAATTTCCGAATATTTTTGTCGACCAACTATTAATATATAGATCGTATTTATTTTCTTGGTGGACAAACAGCCGTACCACTCCAATAAAAGCTATAGAGGTTGGTAATTATTTTACTGTTGTATGATTTCTGTTAATTTCAACAGTAATTAATATTTTGTAATTTTGGCAATGATGAGTCAATGAAATACATTTTGTATACATATAGACAGAAAGAGATATAATCTCTCATTTTTTACAGAGTGTCCATAGGAAAATACTGAAACTAATCAGCTGCTAATTTTTAATATTTAATACATACATATATTGAGAAAATAAAAATTGTGTTGAAAAGAGAAAAGCATTTTTAATGCATATAAATAAAATGTTTGTATATTAGTTTATTTTATTGATTAAAAGTAATGAAAAAGTGTTAATAATCACATAAAATCACATAAACTAATGATAAATATTTTCAACAATGCCAGATTTAATAGCAGCTATAAAAAATTCGCCAATAACATTAAAAATGACATGTTAGAAAAAGTTTTTACGAATTTTCGTAAAAGAATGAAATTTTGTACAAATTCAAATGGTGTGCACTTCGAAAATATTTAGCATTAGTTTACATATGTGATTATTAACACTTTTTTATTACTTTTTAGCAATAAAATAAAATAATGTACAAACATTTTATTTATATCTATTAAAAATTGAAAACACTTCTATTTTCAACACAATTTTTGTTTTCTTAATAACTGTATGCATTAAAAAATTGCTGATTAGCATTTTCTTGTGGGACACCCTGTAATTTGTAATCAGAACTGTTTATATTTAATCTTTCTTCATATTTATATTTTTCTTTTAGATGCGAGACAAGAAGATAACTTTGATTAAGTATTTGAGAAGTCAATCTATATTATTCCGTAAAGAAATAATGCCCAAGTGTTTGGTTTGAGTGTAATAAACCTTAAGATATGCATTATAACAAATATTGATACGTATACTAGAGTAAATAACTAATTGAAAATTTTAAATACTTTTATCTTTAATTTATAATTTATTTTATTTATTATTTATTGAAGATATAAAATTCACATACTTACATTATTTTTTTATGTACTTTCCATGGAGTGCAATTTAAGTCTTCCAACGCTTCGTGCACAAATACCTCTAGAAAAGAGATCTTTTATTTGATGCACCAATTTCTCCTCTTCTTTGGACCTAAGACTTGCTTCCTATCGTTTGAATGTTTTCCATATTTGCCATATTCATCTTGCTCTCAATTTTCATTTCTTTATTCTTCATTTATTTCTACTATTTTTATCAAAATACAGATTTTTTACCAATGATAAAGCAATAAAAGTGACTAAAAACGTAATTTTTTTCATTCTCTATTCTTCTACTATGATATTATTATTGGAATATTAGACACGTATAAAATATTGTACATATAATACTAAAATCATGTATAATTTTATCAAATAAATTTACAATTTTAACACGTTATACGAAAGAGTGTTAAATCATTTAATACTTCACCGAATATTTTTTACAATTTTAATAATTCGTACTGAAAAAGAGTAAATAAAGTCAAAACGTATATGTTAATTAATTAGGGAAATAAATAAAGGACCAATTTTGTATCTTTTATATAGGATTGATCATTTTATTATATGTAATTATAATATATAGGATTAATCATTTTATTATATGTAATCAAATATATTCTTGAAGAGTTGGTCTCTGTTGGCTCTAATTTTTATATGTTGAATATTTATCTACATTTAGATTTACTTGATTTGTAGACCAACTCTAGTCTGACTTCTTTCGCTCTTAAAAGTTTTTTCAGTTGTTCTAGGGTAAATAAATTAATCAAAATAATAAATAAATCAAAAATAAATTAATCAAACTAATAAAAACAATTCGCATTGTAATAAAATAAATAGAATGTAGAAATGTTTAATTAACTTACTGTTTGGATTGCTGATCACGATTATTGTTATTGGTCTTATTTTGGGTGGTCCAATTTTGCGTTTCTGCCGGCCAAATTCTGAGTCCTGGGGTTAAATCGATTTCTATTTAAAATATTGTTGTTTCTATCCATTTTTGTTTTACAAATCTTTTTCACTTGTAAAATATATATTTGATGATATAAATCACTACAAGTTCTTATTTTTCTTAAATGTGCGCAAATCTGAAAAAAACCTTTGCGAAAAACTTCTCTCAAGGATCGAACTGCTATATACACCCTTTAGGCCGGAGCAGCGACCCCCACTTACGCTCTATCTCAGGGACGATCTGTAACACGATGCCGTTCCGTATTCTTTCTCTAACTTTAACTAAATATTTTGAGTATTTTAAAATATTTTAAAATTCGATTGGTCAAAACTTGCTTTTTAAATCTTATTTTGTTTTTTTTAACAATTTATTTTTACTCCTCCATGCTCTTTTTCGGTTAACTTATCAAATACTTTGTATGTATATACATGTATATATATATATATATATATATATATATATATGAGATACATATATGTATATATAATATATGAAAGTCACCACGCTTGGCTATAAGCAATAGAACTGGCCAGATATCTTTCTGTATTTGTAACAGCGTCCGAACTGCATCATGGGTGACACGCTTGGTTCTAAAATGGACTATATCTTGAAAACTAAAAGCTTGCCCATCTTGGCCTTGGAAGCGTTTTAAAAGGGAAGATTTCTACTTTTTTTTAAGATTTTTTGAAGAAAATCGAAGATGTCTAAATTTGAGAAAAAATTGATTTTTACTTTGTTTTTGAAAATCTTATATAAATTGTTATTGAAAAAAAACTAATTTTACAAGATTAAAGTACGTAAAAAGATCTTTCGAAATCACATCTTATTTTTTAAAATTGAAGTAATCTTCTGAAATTTATCAACGTTTGAAGTTGGACGTAATGGTTAAAACAATAAAAATTACCCAAGTAGAACATATTAGTCACAAAAACATCAAGATGACATCTTTTTTGATCATTTTTTTGCATCACGGTGACGTCAAAATGGCCCACCGAGAGCACCTATTCATGACATCATTAAGACATCAAAATGACGTAAAAATGATCTTGTTTTACAAAGCAGAATTAATTAGATATTATACATTAAAAGTAAATTAAAGTAATATAATAGTATTTTAGCTAACAAATGCCGGAAATCGGTCGAGAGTGCGGAAGTTGGGCGCACGAGGCGAAGCCAAGTGTGACCATCCGCACGATCGGCCGATTTTTGATCCGCACATGTGTTGACTACAATATTTTATGCGATCAGTGCCTGGAAAAGGACCCCTTTCTAAAATCGCCTTATGTGCGGAAAGGGCCACTTTTCAGGCGCTGATTGCATAAAATAAACATAATAACATGTAAGACATATAATTACATGTAAAGAGATTTCTTTTTATTGAAATTTACATATGGAATTTACATGTATCATATAACAGAGAGATAAAGAAATTATATAAATTTTGAAGTATATAAAATAAAAAATATTGAAGATACTGAATAAAACTAAAATGCTCTAATAATCCATACATAAACCAAAAAGTCTTTGTTAATTATTAAAGATATTTAGAAAAATTAAATGTACTAATACTATATACTAATAATAATTGTTAATTATTAAAAATATTTAGAAAAATAAAATGTACAGTAAAACCTCGTTTATCCGGCCTTCAATCAACCGAGTCTCCGCGTTATCCGAGCCACCGGACTTATCCGAGCACTCCGCGTTAACCGAGCTGTGCGCTCGGATAATACGGAAAAACTCGGATGAAACGGATGACGCTTCGCTGCTATGCGATGCGCGCGAAGTACAACATACAATACATAGTTTGCGATCGCTACTTTTTTGTTTAAACACGCACGAGCTTGTTAGTAGTACACGCTTTGTTCTCCGCGGTTGTGAGGTAGAATTTAACAGTTGGGCTTCAACAGTCAATGAAAAAACATCGTGTACATACATACATATGTCGCAGAAGCGAAAAAAAGTCGTCGTGAGTGTAGAGAAAAAGTTGGAAGCAATTAGAAGATTGGATAGAGGAGAAATCATTCGCAATGTCGCGGCTGATTATGGTGTTGGAGAGACCACCGTTGGCGATTGGCGTCGAAATCGATCTAATTTAGAGCAATTTGCAATAAAATCGGACGGTGCGATGACTAGTCGTAAAACGATGAAACCGGCAGAGTATGATAAAGTTGATAAAGCTTTATTTCTATGGTTCACTCAAATGAGAGAAAAGGGACTGCCAGTATCAGGTAAGCACACCCCGGAGTTTGAAGATTCGTCCTCGATACAATATCGTTTTTCCCCCTTCAGGCTCCATTTTACAGGCAAAGGCCATGATGCTTGCAAAGCAGTTTCCCGATGAAAGCGAAACTTTTACGGCAAGTTGCGGATGGCTCGACAGATGGAAGAAAAGACACGCTATTCGTCAGTTAAGCATCTGAGGCGAAAAAATGTCAGCTGATGAAGGCGGATTGAATGAATTTAAAGAAGAATTTAATAAGCTTGTAGAGGAAGAAGGATACTTGCGGGATCAAATTTATAACTGCGACGAGACTGGTCTGAATTTTCGAATGATGCCTTCTAAAACATTGGCCTCGCGAGAAGAAGCGGTTGCTCCGGGGTACAAAAAGAACAAAGAAAGGGTCAGCATTTTAGCATGCAGTAACGCGTCCGGTACACACAAACTTCCGTTGATGTGTATCGGGAAATCGGCTAAACCGAGAGCAATTAAACACATCAAACCGGAAGCCTTGCCAGTTTACTACGCGCATCAAAAGAGTGCTTGGATGAGTCGCGATCTTTTCCAAAAATGGTTTTTCGAACAATTCGTCCCTTCGGTTGAGAGATTTTTGAACAAAAATGGTCTTCCAAGAAAAGCTATTTTGTTACTCGACAACGCTCCATCACACCCGAACGAGTCGGTTCTCAGAAGTGACAATATAATTGTAAAATTTTTTCCACCGAATGTGACCTCTATTGGACAACCAATGGATCAAGGCGTACTCGAGACTTTCAAACGTCATTATCGACGTTTTTTGTTGCAAGAAATTCTGGAAAAAAGCGCCGCGGGTAGTACTCTTAAAGAATGTTTGTTAGCAATAAATATGAAAAGTGTTATTTACTGGTCAGCTCAAGCTTGGGATGCTGTCCAAAGGCTTACGCTTGAAAGATCATGGGCAAAAATTTTGTGTTCTAACAATCAAAGCGATGAAATAGCAGACGATGTAGATCTACATAGCATCATAGAGCAGATTCCTGGTTGTGAAAACGTCGAAAGAAACGATACTGAGGAATGGGTTCATGGTGACGATTGTGAAGAAGAACTTACAGACGACGAAATTGGCCAACTCGTAAATTCTGGAGAAGAGATCGCGGATGATATAGAAGACGGCGAGGCGGAAGAAAGTCCGGTAATCAGCCACGAAGAAGGATTAAATGCGCTTGAACTAGCTCTCAAATATATCGAGGAACAGCCGGAAAGTACTGCAAGTGATCTCTTATTGATGAAACAATGGCGAGATATTGCAGCTAAAAAACAAATGAGCAGGTTGAAGCAGTGCTCTATCACTGACTTTCTTAAACCACGTTTGTAATATGTACATAAGTATGCAATGCTTGTTACGCGAAAAATTAATCCACGTTCGTTAGTTTTTCATTTTTATATGTTAATGTGGTTAAATTCTCCTGTTACCATTTTAAATATATTGATTTGTCTTTCGAGGAGCACGTGAACTTATGCACGAGTCGTGCTTACAAGACGCTTGGATTTATAGTGAGAGCATGTAAATATTTTGTAAATATTAACACAGTGCGGCTATTGTTTTGTGCGCTGGTTCGGCCGAAGCTGGAATATGCATCGGTTCTGTGGACTCCATATCAGCAAAATCTTTGTGTCCGGATTGAAAGAGTCCAACACAGATTTCTTCGTAGGGTCAGTTATTATACAGACCGTCTGATGTCTTACTCTGATCATACATATGATATTATTCTTAATATAGTTAGATTAATTACATTAGAAGATAGAAGAATTTTTATGGATTTAATGTTCCTATATAAATTAATTAATGGGCGAAGAATTTGTCCGGAGTTACTGGCCAGGATCAACTTGCATGTTCCAGCTAGGTCTCTCAGAAATAACGCGATTTTCCATGAGGAATGTCACCGGACTTTATATGGTAAAAATAAACCGCTAAATAGATTGTGTATGTTAGCAAATTCATATGCGAATCGGTGCGATTTCTTTCATTCTTCTGAACATGAGTTTAGGCGTTCTGTATTGGCGTGCATCAGCCGACAGTTGAGGTAGCAGTCAAATAGAATTTTCAAATATTTGGATGCGTGCATGCGTTTGATTTCTGATCGTAATCTTGGCCTTAATCTTGATCTTGCTCTTAGTCTTAATCTTTCCGCATAAGTATAATCTATATTTTTTGTTTTGTTTTATTTCTATTAATCTTTATATATTTGTATATGTTTTATGTATTTTTTCTTTTTTTTTACTTCTCTTTATAAGCTATTGTTCGTACTAGAGGGACTTTTCCCGTTTACATGAATAAATAAATAAATAAATAAATAAATAAATATACCAAAAATAAGAGAAGTTTTCGAGTTTTTTTATTTATTCCGTGTTATCCGAGTTTTCGCTTATCCGAGGTACTTCCCCACATTACCTCGGATAAACGAGGTTTTACTGTACTAATACAATTTGGTATTTAAAATGAAATAACTGAGTAATTAAATATATTAAAAATAAAATATATATATGTATACATATATATAACGAAATAACTTCAGGTATTAAATATCTGATTAAAAAATATAATAATTTAATATTCAAATCATGAACAAAAATTAAATGTTCTTACACGTTCTATTAATGCACAATGTGATTAAAAATTTTTAGTCGTGGTTTCATAATATAAAAATAAAAATCTCATTAATACTAAATATTACAAAAGCAATTAATTTTTCCATGACTAAAAAAATGTTTTAACGTAATTAAATTTTTCTTTGATTTCCTGTGTAAAACCATCTTTGTATTTTTGACTTTACTGTTTTTAGGTCACTTTTTGGATGGTTTTTCAGAACAGCGCCTGCAATTTTTATTTATTATTTATTTCCTATCTATTATTTTAATAAAAAAAACTAATTTCTATAAAACAGTCTCCATAATTTTACTATTTGCTAATGCGATCTTAGTGTCCTTAGTACCTCCCCAGCTTATTGCTCTTGCCAATTTATTACTTATTAGTAATTTTGATACCAAATATACAGCACTTTGCCAGTCATTACCTTGACTGATCGTGCGACCCGCAAAGTATTGTACCTAAATCATATTTATTTAACAAGTATGTTTGAGTATGTACAAAGAACAAAATCATATAAATTATAAATAAATCTTATTTACTTTAAACATACCGCTGTTGAGAAACTTGTACCATTATTTAAAAACTCTTCAAATTTGTCATATTCGTCAATTGTGTTTAGAGGAAGCGCTAGAAAGTTATCTGGTCTTAAAAGAAGACTTTCTTCTGGTAATAAATAAGTAAGAATTTTTGTTGTGTTCATTATTACAAAGTCGAGTTTGCTACTTATTTCTTGAAGCAACTCTGTCTTAATTTGATTTATGGCAGCAGCAGTAGTGTTATCACCTAATTATTAATACAAGCAGAAATTATTAATATAAAGTATTATTAGTTAATAAAATTTTAAATAATCTATATATATATGCTTACTTGATCGATTATTTTCAGAAGACTATCTACTTTAACGAAGCTTACACCTTTCACTGTCCATTCTTGTAAATTTGTTAATAGATACAATTGCTTTTGATCGTCATTCTGAAGAAAATTATTTTGATTTTCAAGATTTTTTTCGAAAATTTCACCATCACTACTTAATACTTCATGTTTACTATCATCGCTACTGTAAATATTATTGTTGTCTATTTCAAATTTAAGCCTATCAGAATTATTACTATTTATATTACTATCAACTCCATTAGAGTTATCTGTGTTAATACAAAAAATATTGTCATTTCTATTCTCACATCGATAAATATTAACACTAGATGTACTACTATTGTCACTATCATTAAACAATTGTAAATTAATATGCCCTGGAATTCTCTTCGCTTTAAAGCCCAATTCAGCCACTCTAATTTTCTGCATTACTTCCTGTCTAACATATCTTGCTCTACGACGTTTACTCTATAAAAATTATTGATATAAGATATTAGATAAAGATATTGATTAATTGTAAGACTTAAATTCTGTCTGCAAACCACATCTATCTTTGTTTGATAACATTAGAAGTGAGAAATCCATGCCAAAAATTAAATTCTTAATATATATGTTAATATAGATATAAAATGAAATAATAAATATAGATATATAAAATATGAAATAAAAATGTATATATTTGCATAAGATGACACTTATTGGGTATTTTCTTATTATAGCGGCACAAATTGATACAAGCTGACATAAGCATTATTCTGTCTTTTTTCAATATTCAATATAAAAATAATAAAAGATATTAGAATAATACTTATGTATGTTAGCTCATGTCAACTTGTGTCGCTATGGAACATACCCATATTGTAATCACTTTAGCATATTTATAACATATATTTTTCTTTTTATTTAAATCAAATAATCAATAAATAGCTAAAATAAAATATGTAAATATGCTGTAAAATAAAATATAAAAACATCATAAGAGAAAATAAATTATAATATGATTTCTTATTTCTGATGTCAAAAGCAAAATTAGAATATTAAATGCATTAATTCTAATAAAGGATTGCATTAAATGAATTTTATATGTTATATTAATATAAAATATGAGTATTTGAATGCAAAGCGTAAAAATATTAAAAGCAAATAAAATAGTATTTTTTTGGAAAAAGCTCACATGCCATCTAGTACACGTGCAATATTTTCATAAAAAGTTTATTATACTTACAGGTTTATCAGTCATATTAGAATTTTACAATATGCGCACATGTATGATGATATCAGGAATCGTAATTATATAATCACTTTTTTGAATAAAATTCTGAGCACATCAAATAAAATTCACGAATAAATACGACAGACAAAAGACTATATGAGCTGTGATCGGAACGCAGCCATGAGATGCGACCATATGGCAGATGATGCAAAATAGCGAGAAAAATCACGCAAACGCATTATAAGTTTGTGATCTGTTCGTCTTTGCTGCGCACGCGCATTATATCCAGCAAACACAGTATATCAGGAGACGCGGTAGTGTCTCCGGCCATGTTCAAACCCTAAAAGACCTTAAAGACACTACAAGTCTCCTTATCCTGCACCATCAAAGTCCATTTTTTGGGGGTGTAGAACTACTAAAATATAAAAAATTTTGAATTGCACGTAATATAACCTGAAAGGCGGCATCGCCACGAGTAATTTGAGCCAAGAAAAAATAAAATCGGTCAAGCCGTTCTGAGATACAAGCGGTCAAAAAGTGACGTTTTTCATGAAAAATGAAGTAACGTCGTCTTCTTCTTCTTCTTCTTCTTTCTTCTTCTTCTTCTTCTCTGTCCGCGTATAAATCTCTTCTCACCTTTCACTCACACCTCCCTCAACTTCCACCCACCCCTTTCCCTCCCACATCCCGCCCCACCCCCCCACCCACCCCCACCCCCACCCCCACCCCACTCCCACCCCTCTTTCGCCTCTTTCACCTCTTTCGTCCTCTCTCACCCTCTTTCGTCCTCTCTTACCCTCTTTCACCTCTTTCGCCCTCTCTCACCCTCTTTCGTCCTCTTTCACTCTCTTTCATTCTCTCTCACCCTCTTTCACCCTCTTTCATTCCCTCTCACCCCCTTTCGTCCTCTTTCACCCTCTTTCGTCCTCTTTTCACCCTCTTTCGTCCTCTTTCACCCTCTTTCGTCTACCTCACCCTCTTTCGTCCTCTCTCAACCCCTCTTTCACCCTCTTTCGTCCTCTTTCACCTCTTTCATTCCCTCTCACCCTCTTTCGTCCTCTTTCACCCTCTTTCGTCCTCTTTTTCACCCTCTTTCATTCTCTCTCACCCTCTTTCGTCCTCTCCTCACCCTCTTTCATTCTCTCTCACCCTCTTTCGTCTTCTTCACCCTCTTTCATTCCCTCTCACCCTCTTTCGTCCTCTTTCACCCTCTTTCACTCTTTCGTCCTCTCTCACCCTCTTTCATTCTTTCTCACCCTCTTTTACCCTCTTTCGTCCTCTTTCACCTTCTTTCACTCTCTTTCGTCCTCTCTCACCCTCTTTCATTCTTTCTCACCCTCTTTCGCCCTCTCTCATCCTCTTTCGACATCTTTCACACTCTTTCGTCCTCTCTCACCCTCTTTCGTCCTCTTTCACCCTCTTTCGTTCTCTCTCACCCTCTTTCGACCTCTTTCGTCCTCTTTCACCCTCTTTCGTCCTCTCTCACCCTCTCTCACCTCTTTCACCCTCGTACGTCCTTTCTCACCCTCTTTCGTTCTCTTTCACCCTCTTTCGCCTATCTCGTCTTCTCTTACCCTCATTCGTCCTCTCTCACCCTATCTCCAAAAATCATAAAAATGAAAAGGTCAAGCCATGTTCA